TATTTTTTTTGGAGTTAGAAAATTTGATTTTGTGGCGATTTAAAATAGTTTGATAGAACTGGCACCCCTTGAAGCTGGCCGTATGATTTTCGGAACAGTGGACACATTTAGCTGGATTGAAGTGATCCTTGGTGCAGCTATCTAACTCATGAGCCTCGCCGCATTTGACGCAATGCGATGGATGATGGCAATGGTTTTACATGTGACTATAGTCTTGACAATTGAAACATTGCGGTGGACCTTATATCTTTTTGTTCGGTTTTTCAATCACTACTTTCGTGTTTAGTAATGAAGTGATGTTGTAGTTATGTTTATTATTAATATTGGGTTCGATGTCGACAAAAAATATTGGGAGAGGACAATTGTTTTTTTTTACATTATGGACATCCTCACTAGGTGTACTTTTTCCAACAAAGCGGACGAAATATTGGTACTGAGAGTGGAATGATGGAGGTTTCTGATAACGATTCTGAATGGACGCTAACAGTGAGGACGAAAAGTATGTAAACTGGCGTTAGTTTCCATCAAATAATTTGACAGTAAGTTGAAATTAACACAACCGTTTGGACGGACGATAAGGTACAAAGGAGTGGACTTATATGTTAGTTATATGTTAACTAACCCCCCTTGAAGCCGACGGTCTTAATTAATACATCCTTGAATGCAGAAAAGTTATTGATGTTCCAAATGTAGATAGGTGGAGCCGCAGGCTGTGCCTGGTCAGAAGGGAGAGATGAAAGTACAGTGACTTCGCAGGAAGGTGGAGCCGCATCGATTACAGTGTCATTGTTAATGTCAAGTGAGGCGAGAACAGCGAAACGGTTTGATGAGGTGAAAGTTTTGGTCTTTTTCCCCCCGTGAAGAGGAAAATTTGAAAGAGTACTGGATAATATTATTTTTGATGACGTAGGCGTACGAGGTAGACTTTTACCGGAACGAATCATAATATGATATACGTTGAAAACGAAAACGTATTTACGTAATTAAAATACTGATAACGGAGCGAGCCTAAGAGCATGTGTTCATGATGAACGTTATCGCCAGACTGGGAGTTCCTAATTTATTTTATCTAATTTTTACTATTTATAGCTTAAAATTTAAACTTCGTCCTCGAATGAATAAAAGTCGTAAAAAAACCCAAGGGCCACAGGGTGTGCCACAGGACACCTGGCACGCCTATAGTCATTGTACAGTTTAAAATTTTACAATTTAATTTTTTCGTACACCTTTAAGTATAGTTCTTGAAACTATGTTTACATTTATATCAAATATATATATATATATATAACATGAATCATTTACAAGAAGAAAACAAGAAGATTTGAAAGTAATGGTAATAATTATAAAAAAGCAAAAGAGTTGGAGAGATATAAATAACTGAGTATAATATAATAACAACGAATTTATATTTGAGTATACAATTTTAGTGCCGCGACATACTAGAGTGATTTTGACGCACGTTACGACGTGCCACCGTTGTGTGGTTATGTATGCCACAGTTATGCATTTTCATCGCGTAAGTGTATAATATGTATACCTACGTTTTCATCTGGCGTTTTCGACGCGTGGTGCTTATGCATCTTTACCGCACTTCAAAACCCCACTAGAGTATCGCTACTCTTACACCACACGACGGAAACCAAAATTCGCTACTAATTTGTTAAAAATTCATAAAACTTTCAATTTTTTTACGAAAAGTAGAAAATTAGATATAACATTTTCTAATGAATTCTCTTTTTACCAATTTATTATTACTCTTTATTCCAAAACCGAATTCTGCTCTTGATTCACTCTCTCATCGCACCAATCTTCGACCTAACATTAAAATACTTTTACAATTATTCGCCACGTTACCAGTTACCTCTTTCACTCGGGAAAGAACGTTTTCAGCACTTAATCGCTTAAAAATTTTTTTAAGAAGCACTATATCGGAAAACAGACTGAATGGGTTAGCTATGGCTTATATAAATAAAAAAAGAGCAATTCGATGAAAGTGAAATAATAACTGAATTTGCCAGAAATTTGCCAAAGAGGATGCAGCTGTCAGAGTGGAGCAAGGGACTGAACACTAAAACCAAAATTATTATTATTATTATAAATTATATATTAATAAATATTTTTAAAACTATATTAAAATGCTTGAATTAAGTTTAGAAACTTGGTAGTAGATGGTGGGGGGGGGGGAGTTAAAGGTGAATTCTCGTATCCTCTCTTACCTTACTTATCCAAAAAAGTGGTTAGCCCCCCCCCCATTTAAAAATCCTGGCTACGCCACTGCTCACGATGAACGGATATGTTTATCTCTAAACATCGAGTACGAGGATTCTTGTTAAAAAAACCTGGACCAAGTGAATATTGCAAAATTCATTGTACATCTATGACTTCGTTATTAGTTCGACACAAAGGACAATCAGTGATATAAAATAGTGTATTCCAAATAGCCAAAAGTTATTGCTACGTATTATACGGCAATGGTAAAATGTATTGAACACGTACAATAAAATACAAATATGATTTACACAACAAGATGATACTCATTTTGTCATCAGGACATGATGAAGCAAACAGCTTCCATATACACCGAAAGAATACCAATATGCATTTACCATCAAATGAACGGTAAGTACGACGGTTATCAAACTGTTAGAGGATGTAAACATTTGTTTAAAGATAATAAGTAATAGGTTGAAACTTTACAATCAAGATCTAGAATGTAACCTGTATATTTATATATATTTATTTTATTTATGCAATTATTTAATTTACAATATAATGCTTGTAGAGAATATTAACTATTATAATTTTGAAATATTAAAAACAGACGTTGCTTATCATTAAAAAATTGACTTTTCAAAGTTCAGGACAAAATATTATTAGACGTTCAAAAAAATTAACTCGAGTCTTTAGACAAATGGGCTAGATGCCAATCATTGCATAATATAGTAAGTACTACGTACCTTATGGTAAATAAATAAATTGTAATTATTGTATCATGTTATTATATTACTTAAGTATCATCAAATTTGATAAATATTTTTTCCCAGTTTATTAAAAACATTTAACAGTAGCACGCTCATGAAAATGTAAAGTGTATTTAATAATAAGTCGAATAATAGTTTAATAAAGTGCATTGAAAAAAAAATCATATTATTTTTCATTATTTAGTATTAGTATGTAATCAAGTTAAAATAATAATTATACATATTAATTATCAGTTTTTTTGAAAATAAACAAATACATTTTTTTTTTAACTTAGGGCTGAGTGGGAACAGTATAACACAATTCGATAAATATATTATTTGATAAGATTTGGTACAATGATAAAACATGTGTTATGAGATATATAATATTCAATTATTCAATTAAATAAATTAAAAATTAAATTAAGTCATATGCTAATAATATAATTATTCAATCAAGGTTTATTATTGGCATATTGTACAAAAAACTGTTATTTATGAAATAAAAATGACGTTTTAATTATGTAGAATAAATAGTTTAGTTTAATTAATTTTCAAATACTATTAAACATTTTTATTTAACTGTCAAAAAATAATAATAATTTTTTTTTAATAAAGCATCTTCAATTTTTAAACATTTTTTTTTTTTTTTGGTCTTACACTTTCAATTTTTAATAAGCTATAAGGATCAAGAATAAAAATCAATTAAGGTTTGTTGTGTTTTACGAGTGAGATATTAATGGATAAAAAAATAATACGTAACGGGTATGGAGTAATTTATATTTGTTCGAAAATTGTTTCAATTAAATTAATTTGAAAAATAATAATCATTACCTAATAAAACAATAGTTTTATTTAATTTATTTACTTTCATTTAATTTATACATGTCAGTAAATTTTTTACAATGAGCCCTGACAAATAAACAAATTAATATACATTTAATTGTTAATTATTGGAAAGCAAAAAGGTTAAATTAAGAATACCCATAAAGAATATTAAAGAATAAATTGAAATAATTTGTCTTTATCTTACTTTTGGACAATTTCAACAAAATTTAACTTTACAAGATTATTTATTTATAATCATCAAATAGAGTGATTGTTTCAGGTACTAATTTTTTTTCTATAGTTTGTTCCATGAGATTAATTTTTAAAATTTGTTCATTGGTTTTTGTAATAATTGAGAAAAACTGATAAAAAATTACAAAAAACTAAACCGGCAACATGTACGAAGTACTGGTTATCGATAAATTAAATTGTTTTTTCATTGTTAAAGAATAAATAATTATGAAGACCTGAAATTTCATGAAGTATTTAAACTATCATAGTTTTAAAAAAAGTTTAACTTTTCCGTAAGATATTTATGGATTCATGAAATGTTCAAGTTTTTTTTAGCTATTTTTCGTAATATAACTCATCGGTTGGACAAAAAAAAAAATTGTTGAACAACGATGTTCTTAGAAAATTTGATTTTATCGATATGTTATGTACTTTCAACTCAGTAACAATAGTTACTCGGGAAAAAAATGTGATTAAAATAACCATATGAATGGTTATTCGACATTAAAATGATGGTGTGGTATAGTGACAGCAACACACCATAAATAAAGTTACAATATGAATTCGGTTGATGCATTATGGTTATATTATTTTAATTTATTAACCGGTAGATCAAGATTAATTCCATAAATGATTAATGATTGTGGGCGCGTGTCTTTATCAGCGTCTATCTGCATCATCTCGTTAGCGCAATAACTCGAATTCGCGGTCATCAGCCGACCAGACGTCTACACACACACGCACAAACATATTCAAATTGTTTTTAATTTTTTGTTAATTGTGTTGTGAGTTATATAACATTTATTTATTTGATTATCGAGTAAAAACGCTCGTAGACTCAAGTACAATCCAATATATTATATAATTAGCAGCGAATGAAACGTAATAACTAACGCGTTATCATTCGCCGCCGGTTCGACGGGTTTCAAATATTTTAACGCGGTCGCCGTTTTCTTGTTCTGTACGTTGTTGTGGCAAGACCAATAGACAAAAATCAAATGTCCATTAACTTTATATTCATGTTTTCTATTGTTTTCTCGTTGTTCTCCTTTTACTCGGCGTCAAATTGATTGTTATTTTGTTGGTTATTACGTGTGCGCACTAATCGCCACAGTTTATTTGTTATTATTGTTTCGTGGGCGCTTTTCACCAACAGTTATATAAAAACATTTTTACTTAAATCTAGTAATAGGTAGCGGCTGACCGAACTTTGTGAGTAATTAATTTATATTTACTTATTGTGCCGAACGGGGAATTTACATTTGGAAACCAAATTTAATTGGTCATTTCGAAAAGGCCATTTCTACATACATTTTCAAAACTAGTTTTATGTTATAGATGTGTTTAACTAATAATAATGCATATTTCTTGCGAGACTGCCATATCATAGTTGGTTTTTTATAAGGGAATTAAATAATTCAACCAATTTTCAATTTTATCTAAATTTAATTTTGATCTCTAAAAATAGTTTTTTACGTTTCCTAACAATTTTCATTTTATAGAGATATGGTCTTTTCGAAATGACTGATTCAATTATTATTCATTATTTAACCGTAAAAAATCGTTACCATATAGGTACTCGTAATCAAGCGCAGATCTATAAATGAAAAAAAAGGGGGAGGGGGTAGTAAAATGAATTACTTCCATAATTCGTTGAGCGTGACGAATTGTATGAAGTCTTTCTTACTTTCTTAGACTTGTATCTGCGCTTGCTTGTAGTCACCCTTGTCCGTAGTCCCACCCTCATGTGTTGTCTCCGTTTGACATTATAACAAATTTGCGTTCAGTGATTCAAATGTAGTGATGTTAGCTTTAATATTAGAGTAAACTGACCTATAATCAAACTTTAAGGGAAGAACATTATCTGTGTTTTGTTGGTCGGTTTATTCCGATATTTTAATTTTTTAGCGAGTTATGATGTTTTTTTTATTGTTATATTTTAAATGCTCATTACACGCTTCAAAATTAAAATGTCGGAAAACCCGACCAACAGAATAGAATAATCAATAGAAAATGAAATATTGACGAAATGATGTACAATTTCAATACATTTTGGTTATACGATAGTATTTATTAGATTGTTATTATATAAATATTAATCATAATGCTTGGATATATTTACTATATTTTATAGACATTTTTTGTAATTTCTTATTAACGTTTGTGTATGAAGTATTAACATCGTTAAAATACTTCAAACTTTCCAAACGTGTTACACTATTCTTTGAACATTAAATAATCAATCTATAAAATATTTGTAATCATTTTATTTATAACAACAAACCGTGAATTATTAATTTTATATTACAGTGACCTAATTCAAATGAATTAGGTCATTATATAAAAATTATATTCATTATATTTAAATAAATACGCTCATAAAATATATAAAATCATTAGTCAAAATATTATTTAATATTTCAATGTTAGGTCAATACAGTGTTCGATTCTAATGGATAAAGGTAATATGAATCTAAAAAGGTTAGAATCACTGATCTAAGGTCTGCTCTCAAAAAAATTACTCTTCGAAGTTTAAAATAAACTTATCATTTAATTTATCTCGATAAAAATGTATTTATCTAATCTCAACACTGGTTATAGGTCATAATGCCAATTAAGATAATCATCATCGGGGCTGGAGTTGGTGGTACGGCTGCAGCTGCTAGGCTAAGCAAAAAAGGATTTGATGTAAAAGTTTACGAAAAAAATTCATATAATGGTGGAAGATGTTCAATAATAAACCAAAATGGACATCGATTTGATCAAGGTCCATCATTATACTTGATGCCGAAAATTTTCGAAGAAACATTTGAAGATTTGGGAGAAGACATTAATGACCACATCGAATTATTGAAATGTCCATCTAATTATAGCGTACATTTTCATGATGGAAAACAGTTTGAACTTACCACTGATTTGGCTAAACTATCTCGTTCATTAGAAAGATATGAAGGCAGTAACGAATCTACGTTGATTAACTTCTTAAAATTTTTAAAAGAATCTCACGTGCATTATCAGAGAAGCGTTAAGGTTGCACTCAAAACAGATTTTCAGCATTGGTATAACGTTTTTCATCCGAAACTTTTATCAGACGTAATACAACTACATATTTTGGATACCATTTACAACAGAGCATGTAAATATTTTAAAAGCGATTACATGAGAAAAGCTTTCACATTTCAAGCTATGTACTTAGGGTATGTATATAATTATGTAATTAAATGTATAAGT